GTGGTCCTTCCCCGGTCGAGCCGACCCATTCGTGCTTCAAACTACAACCATAACATAGTTGCAGCTTGGCTTTACCACGTATTATAGTATAGCTTTGATCCGTCGTCTCGGATGAAATACTTACGAGGTGATGGATTATTTTGCCGTCGCAACACGGCATGACAGTTGCAATTCTTTATACATAAAAATAACCATCCACAATATTATTGTAGGCAGAAATGTTAATATGTACTGTACTTTGCAGTATTGTTAATATCTAAATTTATTTCTGGTAACGTACATTTAATGGGTCGCTTGCAACATCTCAGTCTCGAGTGGAATCTCGAGTGCACTCCGGGATTCGAATCCACATTAATTACTGTGTTTGAAATTTTGATTGCCGTTTCGCATAATACCCGATCGGCGTATGTTTTTATTCAAGTGCGACAGGGTGAGGTATTGTTTTGCTCTTACAATAAACAAATTATATTGTCCAACGTATCATATTTGTTTATTTTGACTAAATATATTTTGACTATATAAGTAGGTTTTATATCAACTACAAACTCTGATAAAACGAGCTTTTAAGGCGACACCGCGAAAAAATGCATCCTTTCATCGAATAGTATGTATAAGACACCACTAACGAAACTAGAATTTTGATATAGGTAAACTCATCTCTTTATTTTGAATTTGCTTGTTCAAAAACACGATTTGACTCTATCATAATTATTTGTGAAAACATCTAAAAAATCGCTATGGTTGAAATTACAACGAAATTACCTAATCTTGAGAATCACTCAAATATATTCATAACATCAATATTCGTAATTTACTCGCTTATTAGTTTGACTACGTAAATCAATTTTTTTTTAATATTTTAAGATTCTGACAATTTTTAAGCGGTCGTCGCGGGCGCTACGCAATTTTAGACCTTATGAAGGAGTTTTTTAAGTTTTTATAGAAATTATGTATTCACTCGGATCTGTCCGACGATAGCCCGGAGCCGTTTTAAACATTCATTTTCAATGTGTCGTCTTAAACTATTAAAGTCTCATTTTATGAATGCTGAATTTAGATAATAAAAACAATACAAAAATTGGACGGTCTGGGGGCACAGTAAGAGCGGATTATAACGCTAATAATAGAGATTCATTTCTGATTCAAATGACGATTTGAGCAGAATTCGATCTAGTCACCCTCTCCTCCACTGTTCACGTTTATTAGCAAGCCGCTCTTAGTTATGTCATAGCTCTATCCCTAAATCTTCTAGATCTATGTTTGTGGGTTGCTTACAAGAAATTTTATTTTATTTATATAGGCCCTTTGAGACAGGCATATAATCAAAGTATAGGCCATGTTGTCAAAAAAGTTAGTGAATCTATCCTGTTTGAATAACGTCTAAAAACAATTTAATACTCAAATGCAGTTCGTGGAAGACAATTGGTATAATGCAGTTACTCGTAACGAGCAAGTAGGCCAAGGGTCAGCGGTGCTTCTCATTTGTTCCATTAAGTTCAACAGTTAATACTCGTAATAATTCGAATATTTCAAAGTATCACCTTTTCATCATCGTTAGCTTTTTTAGACTCAGTATTGGCGCCAGCTGGCGTCTATTTATGTACAGAGCTAGCGTGTTAATGAGTGTATAGCTGACATCCTCGCCCAAAAAAAGTACCAGTCTAGTAAATAAAGTATATTTAGCCTTCTATAATTTTCTTCGTAATATTCACAAACGACATGTATACCGAAAGGTTTGTGTATTACCCTCGTCAGTTTAGATATACTTATTATAAAATTGACATGTAGGATAGGTTAATCACAACATCTTATACATTTTCCTTAGTTTCTGATAACACACAAGGAACAACGTCTGATCATGTACCAGGAAAGCTAGTGCGCTTCACCACATAGGACCATATTAGGTTACCATCAAGTGGAATTGGTTTAACAAGTAAAATATTGATCCTCTTACAACGCTGTCACACCTAGTTAATATAATTTTCTATTATAATTTGTAAATATCATGGGACCAGCGTCGCGATGTCTGCATGCTGAGCGAAAACTGCTTATTTTAGCCAGCTTGGTTAACTGGCTTACCCCACGTTGTGCTGACCTCGTTCCTGTGAGGTGTAAGAATCTCTTAAGTGCCGCAAGAGGCAACAGACGTAAGTAACGTTTAAAGAAACACTGCGGTTGCTCACCCGCCCGATGATGAGTCATTCTATAGGGTTGCCATTGCTCAGTCGAGGTCTTTTTAGTATATTTTAGTAGGCTGTATGAATTAATGAATGGAAATGTGTAAGTGTCCCAAAACGTCAAATTTACAACAATAAAACGTTTTTATGCGCTTCATAATAATGTTACGAAATAAGTAGGTAAGTAGGTTTGTACCAAGCAGTTGATAAATTTTCATAATATAACCACCACTAAATAATTTGGCCAGATCTCCCATGACAGATCTCCCAATTGTGACCAGTCATCCGAAAAAATACCATGCGCAACATTATCGTTATATAATTTTAATTAAAGCTCTAAATTATATCAATATTGAAATAAGATAAATGTGTTCCAACTTTCATTTCAAGACTCAAAGAAGGAATTACGTCAAATTGATTATTAAAAAAGTGTATTTCGTGGTGGAGTCATTGATTCTATTTTTAAATTCCTTTCTTACTTTCCATTTTGTTTGATCCTCATAATCTGTTCTGTTTTGTTTTATACCATTTTTTGTTTTGTGTTAAAGGACAATTACACTGTATATATGAAAATAAACATATATAGATATTTCTATACACATTTTACATGCATGACAAATAACTTTTTTCAAGAATTATTAAGTTAAATTGATAATAAACTATAACATCTTATACAAAAATATATACCTAAAACGTTTTCTGTTCAAAATAGCTCAAGAAAATATTATATCAATAAAGGTTTTATTCAAAGCTATCATTTCTATAAGTTTTTCGAATTAGTACCTATTTACTTTGTGTTGTGTTGTAAGATGTTTTTAAAATTAAAGTCCTTTTTTATTATGTCTTTGGTTGTCTTTGCAAATCAAACGTACATTATTGATGAAATTTGTAGTTAACGAATAAGATTGAATGTAAATACGTTATAGCGCCATCTATTACAATAATAATGAAACAAACATGTAGAGAAAATGTTTACATATTTCGTTACAATTGATAGATGTCAGGATGGCCGAGCGGTCTAAGGCGCCAGACTCAAGGTATAATCCTTATCTGTTGTCAATTACAGATTTCATGTGTGTTCTGGTCCTCTCTGAGGGCGTGGGTTCGAATCCCACTTCTGACAAAACTCTTTTACCTTTTCAGTAATATTTTTAAGTATGTATGTAATATGTATGTACATAATATTATGTAATGCGTACTTGTACTATCATCATCATCATCATTATCATCATTACAGCACTTCACAAGTCCACTGCTGAACATAGGCCTCACCCAAGTAATGCCACAAACCACGGTCCTGAGCCACCTGCATCCATCGACTTCCTGCATATCTTACCAGGTCGTCACTCCATCTAGTGGGGGGGTTGCCCTACACCACGCCTACCGGTACGAGGCTGCCACTCGAGAACCTTTCTTCCCCATCGGTTATCGGTTCTTCGAGCTATATGGCCGGCCCATTGCCACTATGAACTTGTACTATGAAAAAAGGAATTATAATTGATATAATGTATGTACAATACATACACTGTATTTAATTATATTGCCTGTTTGCGTTACAAATTAAATTCACAATGATAGGTATATTTATTGTATTTATTTTATACCCAAAGAATAATATAATTTTTTTAAATAATAGGTACTACATAATAATATAACATCGGTAATTTATGTTTGTTGGATTAATGTTTTGTAAGTATAGATAAGAACTTTTACCTCATGTTAACAATCCTCGGTAGTATAGTGGTAAGTATCCCCGCCTGTCACGCGGGAGACCGGGGTTCGATTCCCCGCCGGGGAGTTCTTTTTTTTAACTATATTTCACACATTCATTTTATTTTTAAAATGTTTGAGTAAAAATATTACTGTTAACCATAAATTCTTCGTATTCTAATTAATATAAAAGATTTAAAGAATCAATATAAAGAATTATTTTCCTATTTATTCTTTATATTGTCTGTGACACATTTACTATTTGTACGTTTTAAAAATAAACTAAAATTGAAATTAAAACCTCACTACATGTTGTGATGTTTAGTCTGAGGTTTTTGTTCACTACATAATTATTCTCAAGCAAGTTCCGTGACCCACATCTCTATTTATCTTATCTACACGATCGTGTATCAAAAGGATTGCAATACATACCTGCCTTGAATTTCTGTCACTGATTCTATTGAATCACGTGTCCTGGATTCCAAACACAGTCGCAGCCAACAATATGAAAAAACACATCATTGTTGGTTTTAAGATCCTCGTTGTGAAAATAACAGAAAAGCTTTAAGTACATCAGCCACGAGTACTGTACTTTGAGTATTAAATAATACTCAAAGGTACTTACTATATGAGGACGTTCTGCACAGTCAAAGTTCTTTGCTACCGACTTGAAGTTTTAAATCAATGAAGGCATCCAAGACTTTTTCTGCCACCATGGCAGCGCCGTTACGAATTAGGTGAAATATTTGACATATTTTTATAGCGGGAGAAGATAATTTGTTAGAAAATTGTAGATTGTTTATTTCTGAAAGATTACATATTATTTTATATCGATTAGATAAAAAATAGATCAATCAAACTACGTATATTCCTAAAAGAAGAATTACAAAATGTTAAAAAAAGAATACAGAACTGAGGCATTTTTTTTAATTATACATACAATAGAAACCTTAAAAACTTTTAAACAATGAAAAACAACTTTTGAATGATGATGTCAATATGTAACTTGTTTATCAAATGAGTTGACCTGACCGTTGACCTTGGTCCCACTAGCGACATCTAGTGGGTATAAAATTATTAGCCTTCATTTGAATGTTATTTTTTTCTTGGCAGGCGGGTAGCGTCGGTGTGATGGTGCGTGAGGCCACAGTGCTGCTGCTGGCGGTAGCACTGTGCCGCGCAGCCACCACACTCGACTCCGAACTTGGCGTCGGAAAGGCTATCAACATCTTCATGAGGTGAGAATACATTGTTTTGCTTCATTCGTAATTCATTTGGTTAGCGTTAGACGCATAGAAATGGGCGTATTTTTATTTTTTTGTACCATGCCTTTTTTCACCTGTCACCTCATTTGTGCTATTTTTCTTTTGGTGATCATTATCAATATTCATGATGTGAATAAAAAATAAAGATTAGTGTGTATTTTTGTTTTTAAATATGATTTTAATTTTGAGGTTTTCTTTAAATTGTATTTTTTATGATTTTCTGAAAGTATTCGTATGTATGAAAATGTGATGTAACTCACTAAGTACAGTGGTTTAATCTTTACATAACATCACCGTTTGCCGCCAAAACTTTGAATTTTAACTGACTCCAAAGGCAGTTGTATATTTCTGAACGTTCAAAATGCCTTACACGAAAATATCAACCATAATCAATGCATTATAAGAGTTTATTTCTCGTAACTCAAAATGGATCTAAGTGGAAAGTTCCTACTGAGTTACGTTAATTTAAACCATATTTTTTATTTTTTACCGGTTGTAAATATATTTTACAATTTGGCAACAAGAACTCAAAGCGTCATAACTGTCAGCCATTTTGCAAACCGTGACGAGACGCTAAATAAGTGTGGATGTTAGTTTGGTGCAGAAGAGATTTTCCGCTGATTAACGGGAATATTCAAGGCAAAATCAAGGTAAGAATAATTACTTAAGTGTTTTTGTGTTATATTTTAGAAAGCTCAAGGTTTAAACTCTAAATATATCATAAAGTTTATGCAAAGGCACAAATAATGTAACCTGTGAAATCATTTTTGTATTATCACTCACATAGATTGAGTTACGTCGGCTGAGAAACATTTCACTCATTGGAATGAATTTGTAACTCAGTGGAAGGTAAAGGCGTGTTTAAATTGTAAATTGACTAGCGACCCACCCCGGCTTCGCACGGGAGTTTGTAATTTTATATTGAAACAAAAAATTTATATGTTAGAGTTACATAGACGTAGTGTAAGGTTTTAAGCCCATATAGCGGACATTCCCCGTTTTTCTTATTTTAAGCATTTATACCCGTCGTAACTTCTTAATGAAAGGTCCAATTTGAAATAAAATAAAATTAATTTAAAACAAAATGAACATATGTACTTACATGATCATCCTTGACTGTGATTTTATGTAAGTATAACCAATAGTTTTTGCAGCGCACGTCAAACAATTATTTTTTTAAATAATATTTTGATACCCTAATATATTAAGTAATTAGCCTACGCTACTCGCTAAAACTTTGTCTTTTTATATATGTAAGAGTTAATTAAATTGGTTTACATAATTAAAAAAAAACAGATAAATAATCAGATCTTAGACTAGTAGCATAGCATATTAGTTCAGATTTTAGACTAATAACATTCATAACTACTACTTGGTAGGTTTTTTATTTTTCACATCTGTTTAGTTTTCAAGCGATTTTAATAAAACCAAAGGAGAGGTTTATAAATAACAATTTTTTATTAAAAATCACTATAAAAAATAATAAAGAATTAAATTGTACATAGTAAAATAAAGTTACAGTAAAAATGTTATAAAAATAAATTCAAATGTTTGAGGCGATTTAGACCAATTTCACCCAACCGCATAGCAGAAAATTTTGATATTATTATTTGGAAATGGTGAAGGAAGGTTTTTACCCAGATATGTTCGATAGGCGAGTGTAGAAGCTTCGGGAGGTAGTTAGGTAGGTTATTTTTATTATTTTAAGCCCACGGCTTCGCACGAGTTAAATTATAAATAAAAACCTTCCTCTTGAATTACTCTATCTATTAAAAAAATCCGTTGCGTAGTTTTAAAGATCTAAGCATACATACATACATAGGGACAGACGCGGGAAGCGACTTTGCTTTATACTATGTAGTGATAACTCAATATTAAAATACTATTTTGTTTTAGGATACTTAAAGTACAATATAAAAAAATACCTTTGACACCCGCTGAACGTATGAGGAAATATAGGGAAAAATTAAAAAATGATCCTGAAAAATATGAGGCTAAGAAAAAAAAACATGCAGAATATGTTAGGTCCAAAAATAAGAAAGTAAGTGAATTATCGGATGAAGAGAAAGAAAGAAAACGAAAAGTATGGAGAGAACAAAAACGCCATCAAAAACAAAAAAAGAAGGATTTTCGTGCAGAAGACACTGTAAATGAAGAAGTAACAACACGCAGTAAAGAAGAAACTTCGACAAAGAAACGCTATAATAACGCTGTAGTTAAGAAGTACAATGCGGCGTTGAAACGGATACGTGCATTGACAAAGATAGTGAACAGATATAAACAAAAACTGCACAGGCAAAAGAAAGAGACCGATGAAAAGATTCATAAATTAGAAAATAGTTTAGAAATAGTCAAAGCAAGAAACGAATTCATGGAAAGTACCATAAAGACCACTTACGCCAAATTTCAATCACAAAAGGAGAAGAAAATTTTCAAAGAGATGGTAGTAAGCGATGAAGTACAAGCAGCTAGAAAGAAAACTTATGTGGCTAATATATTGGGACTTGAGGGGAAAATAAGATTATCTCAGAGGAAGCAGAAAGATGACAGTATCAAAAAAGAAATTGAGAGATTTTATGTTAGAGATGATATAACTCGAATAACAGCAGGGAAAAGAGAATGTCGGACACTTGGGAAAACTACAAAACAAATACGCTATCTAACTGATACGTTACTGAATTTATATAACATATACAGAGAAGAAGGAGGAAAACGGAGTTTTTCTACATTTTACAAATATAAACCCTTTTATGTTGTGACCCCAAATATTCAAAACAGAGAAACATGTTTATGCATAAAGCATAACAACACGGAAATGATGTTGTATGTATTAAAGAAAAACAAAGTCTTTTTTTATCCAAGTATGAACGACGTCTTGAAAGAATTGTGCTGTGATTTAAAATCAGAAAAATGTATGATGGGTAATTGTCCAAAGTGTAATGGATGTAAATTGAAGTACAGTTTAGAGCCAGGTAAAGCAGAGTCACAAACAGAGTGGTATCAATGGGAGAGAGTGAACCACGAATACCAGAAAACTGAAAAAGGTATTAAAAAAACTTTTGTAACCAGAAAGACTGCAAAATTGAGAAAGAGCGCGACCGTAGCTGAACTTATGGATATGTTCGAGAAAAATATTCCTGTTTTTAAGAAACATTATTTCATTTGGCTACATCAACATAGACAATATCAAATCTGCATACAGAACTTAAAACCGAACGAAATATTAATTGTTTGCGATTTTTCGGAAAATTATCTTTGTGAGCTCTCCGAAGAAATTCAGGCAACACATTTTGGAGCGTCGAAGAATCAAATAACTCTTCACACTGGAATGGTTTACATGGGGAACAAAGAAGCAAAGTCTTTTTGTACTATTTCCGATAATAACTCTCATGAGCCTCCGGCAATTTGGGCTCATTTAATACCGGTGCTGAGATATGTAAAAGAAATGATGTCTGAGACGAAGGTAGTCCATGTATATTCCGATGGACCCACGTCTCAGTACAGACAAAAAAAGAACTTTTTTCTTTTGAATTTACTTACCAAACGGATGGGATTTGAATATTCTACCTGGTCTTTCACTGAAGCGGGCCACGGAAAAGGGGTGGCAGACGGAATTGGTGGATCTACAAAAAGAGCATTAGATCGTCAAGTGGCTTTTGGTAAAGACGTAACAAATGGCTCAGAAGCTTATGATATACTGAATAACTGTATGGTATCTGTGAAATGCTGGCTGATATCAAATTCCGATATTGAAAATATAACTAAAATTGTTCCTGACAATCTGACTCCCTTAGTTGGTACTATGCAAATACACCAAATAATTTCCAGTTCTGCTGGGCAAATTCAGTACAGGAATTTGTCTTGCTTTTGCGGAGTCAAAAGAGGACTCTGCAATTGTTACTCCTTGAAAACCCACATCTTTAAAGAAAAGGTTAAGAAAAATATTAAGGAAAATAGCACAGAAGAAGTTGATTTAAATGTAACGAATGAATATAATTCTGCAATTGTGATTCCATTCAACGAAGACGAATTGAAACTACTGACTGATCTACAAAACATTCAAGATGAGCTTCAACAACAAAAAGTGACTTATAATTTACCAGATACTCAAGATTCAAAACAATGTTTTCATGAAGAACAGGTTTTATTTTTTACTTCGAATATATTATTCATCTTACACACAATTAGCTCTGTGTTATCACACAAAAACTATTCTGCTTTGCCTATATTTCATATTTTCCAGATTGATGAGGACATTGAAAAAGACCGCCTAGAAAAGCAACCATTAATGGAAATTGATCTAAACATCCAAGATAGTACAGATTTAAACATTGAGCCAATGCCTTTGCCCATATCTGTTGAAAACAAAGTAAACCAGTCAAATGTTGAAATTGAAATGATTGATTTAAGCGAGGACAACACTCAGCAAAAAGTAAGTAGATGATAATTTTAAAATACTCAAAGTATGTAAAAATATATTTTAATTAATTAAACGTATAACATAATTATACGTACATTAATTAGTTTTACCCACAATAATATTGTATCAATTTCATTTCAGGTTATAAGTGAACACATTGAAAACGATATTTTTAAAAAACGAACATTAAATTTAATGGAAATGAATGACGACAATAGCAGGCTAACTAAAAAAGTCAAATTTGACACAAGTTCACAGGCAAAAGGCAAATTTCAGTCCATTAGAACAGTAGTCACACGTTCTATAACATGCCGTAAATGTACAGAACAAAAACCGTTTCAATGTTCTAGAAAATGTATGTGCTGTTCAGCCTGGTACTGCAGGCAGTGTGCTGGGATAGAAGCAAATCATTACGGTTACGATGACTACATTTGTGACGAATGTTTAGGCGATTAGTTTTTCTTAAGAGGGCTTACGCGTGTCGGCATTTCATTCGAATTTTCGAGTCCTTATTCTTCGATTTTATGAACCGATTTTAATGAAACTTGTTATG